GGGAGTCAGGGCGAGCTCCGCGCCCGGGCGCGGCGAGGCGGGGTCTGATGGGCATGGCAGGCGCTCGCTCGCTCCTCTCTTGCTCCCTCGCTCGCTCCCTCACACACGCGCGGAGGGAGGCGAAGCCCGCAGCAGCCACTTCCCAACTTTCCAAACTTCCCAGCGCAACTTTTTCCTCTCCTCCCCTGCCCGCGCCTCCTCCTCCCCCATCCCTCCCCTTTCCCGGAGCCAGCTCCCCACCCGGCCGTCGCTGCCGCGCGCAGCCGCCAGAGGGCGCTCGGGGCGCGGCCCCACTTGACCAGCCCCATGGCTCTGAGCAGTGGCATATCTGGGCACAAGGACTGGCCTCCCTGGCCCAGCGCATCTGATGCTCAGCTCCTAGTGGGAGCGAAAAGCTGAAGATGGAGAGACAGGAGTGGGCAGGCGGTCCCAGACAGCCTGGGAAGGCAACTCTCAGGGAATCCAGGGAAGCTGGTATTTACAACTCTGGATCTTGCCACTGCTCCCAGCACTGGTGTGTGCTTAGTAGAAAAGCTGCAAATACTCCTTGCATCAAGAGAATATAAACTGATAAAATTATCAGAAACCCACAGCTTAAAATGAAGATGGAACCGATTGCAAAGAATTGGTTAAAATATGGAAAATGGGTGCTTAGGAGGGAACAGAGAGGAAGAACCCCTAACACTGGAAAGATTCAGGAGCAGCCTTATAGGAGAAGGCACAGGTAGCTGGGTAAGAAAGCTGCAGTCTTCCAAGAAGAGCAGGTGTCGAGGAGTAGAGTGTGGGGTGCAGGTGAGGACAGGGACTGCCAGCGATGATGCATGGCTGACACAGAAAGCCAGCAATGGGAACTGAAGTTGCCCACTCACCCCTCCCCCACAGCAGACTGGGAGTTTGTGTTTATATGTGCTAGGTATGGGGAGTCATTGCAAGAGTTAGAGGGGGACTGAATTGTCAGATTGGAAGTGGGGGGGCAAATGGGGAGAGAGGTGATGAGTGGAGAGGTCTCCGGATCCCCAGTTCGGTGCTCTTCCTCTAGACCCCCTCATGTTTTTAGCCACCACATTGAGCCACTGGAGAATGGCTACTCTAGAAACTTGTTTGAGGAAGACCAGTTGGGCTGGACAGGTGAAAAGGCTTCCAGCGCACAAGACCTGAGCCACTAGGTGGAACACAGAGAGGAGGAGGGTACCAGACACTTGAAGGCTAAGCCACATGAGGTTCCCTTCATGTGGATCAAAAGTAATTGACCATTTCATGCTTCACCCAACAAAGGTCCAGGACCAGCGTGGTCTCTTATCACCCTGCACACGCCTAGTGATAGAGGCAGAGCAGGCTGGAGTGCCCAGGTGATGTGACACAACAGTGTGGCCTGGGTGGCCCCTACACAGGGCGCTGAGACCTGCAGCCATGATGAAAAGAGCAGCCTTTTAAAAAGGCACCGCACCGAGGCTCCAGAACTCCCTGCAAAGCGCCTCTCCCTTGGTAAGGATGAGGGAAAGAATTGGGAGTGGGAGGCATATTTAATTCCACTGAGAGGTTGCACATGGTGTCATGGGAGACTGGAAGACACAGGCAGAGGAGGGACAAGAAGGCACCCGTAGAGTAAATGGAAATTATTAGTTTCTCCCCCCCACCCTGCCCTCCTAATATTAGTACCTATGATGGGCAATGTGGTCTCGTAGCCGGCTGTCAGTGGACACTTGGGGTGGGCATGCGTACATGCAAACACCTGAGCCTGAGGCGGAGGCTGTGAGGGAGCATCACTGATGGCACAGTGCGGTGGGGTGGGCTGAGAGCAGTGGAGCATGGCTCCTGGAGGACCAGGACGAGAGTGAGAGGAACCCCGGGGGGATGTACAGAGCTTCTTAGAGGGCCAAGTTGCTGTCTTCCTGCTGGCTTGTTTTCCTCTGCCTACTGTTACTATAACCTGTAGGGATGGTGTCAAGGGCTTCTAACTTCTCTTTTAAGTTGCATGAACCAACGATGAGCCCAGCCTAGGATGGTTGCAGGACAGGACCCAGTCGAGTTAAAGCCTGTGGCGTACAATTAAATTGTTGGTGCATATGACTGTGGGTGTGTGCTTTAAGAAATGTCTCAGGGTGTTTTCTTCCCAAATTATGGACGTTTCATTAGTTCCTTGCAAGAGTGGCCACTATGGCTTCCTCCTCCATGGCACTACCCTCCGGCTGTGTCACCAGGACCAAAATGATGAACCTCTGTGTGCCTGTCTTTCTCCATCCATCTTCCTGTCCTCACTGTTTTTCTGAGTCAGTGTGTGCAGTGATGCTTTAGGCTCTCCATGACTATTGTAACTGGTGTTATTAATGAGATGCAAGAGCAGGTTTTTTCAGTTCTAAGAGATTTGAAAGCATATGTCCACAAAAAAAAAATGCAAATGTGGCTAGTGGCATGATTCAAAGTAGCCACAAAGAGGAAGAAACAACCCAAATGTCCCTCAACTGAGTAGATATACAAAATATGGTATAATTATAATCAAGTGGTGGAATATTATTTGGCAGCAAAAAAGGAACAACATACTGAAATGTGCTGCAATATGGATCCATGTCAAAAATGTTATGTTAAATTAATCCTGTCAAAAGGATGTTTATAGTATACATTCCACTTAATGTTAGCCAAAATAGGCAGCTATAGAAAGGCAGAGTCAAGTAGAGGTAGCTAATGGGGAATTTGTGGGGGGAATTTGTGGGGCTAGGGGGAAATGGCAGGAAGGGGGAAATGGCAGGAATGGGGAAATTGGGAGACATGACTGTGGTAATGCACTTCTTTTGGAAATAATGAAAATATTCTAAAAGTGTGATGATGGCTGCACCACTCTGAATGCCCTAAAAGCAAAGCCTTAGATGAATTATATGATATGTGAATTATATTTCCATAAAGCTATTCCCCCCAAAAGAGAGGGAGGACAAACAACTTTGGGACCCCAAGAAGAAGTAGCGTCAAGAACAGGAGTCTTAGTGTTTTCAAGTCATTTCTTCCTCCCACCTTGTGTAATGAGAAAAGTCTTATGCCCTGGCATTATAGGGTGGGTCTGCTAGGGTCCCGCTGAGCAGCTGGGAGGAGTCCAGTTCTCCTCTCTGGATCGGAATTTCCCTATCAGTAAGGATCACCTTTAAGGGTCTTTTGTGCCCACCTCTAGAGCTCAGAGTTTCACAGCCAAGACCTGTCCAGGGGCCCTAGGCAGGATGGGAAGGGGCGCAGGGTTCAGGGGTGGGCGGTGGGCCAAGACGCCTGCCTCCTGTCCCAAGGCACATCCGGCCCACTCTCCTTTTATTGCATTTTAATTAAGTTGTTCAATCAGATGGGTACCAGCAATCTGTAGGCTGTAACAGCCAGGGCAGGAACAGAAGCCTTTGTAGCGTAACTAAACCAACAAAGTCCTCCTCTTGAGAAGATCCAGCAGCCCCAGGCCCTGCCCCAAGGCCTCTCTCAGGGAGGCTGATGAAGGGATCCCTTGCTTGGCTGGCCCAAAAAGGAGCTTTGCTCTGGGCCTGAGGGCTGCTCTGGCTGGTCATTGCCTGAGCCACTGGCCTCTCTGGTGTTTGCAGGTGAACTTTGTCAGGTGTGACTTCCAGCTTCAACTCTCATCTATCTGCTGTATCCCCCCTCCCCCACACCCCCTTTCTCCCACACAGGCACACCCCTCCCCTTCTCTGCTCCAAGCCCTGTCTTCTCCACCCCTGGTGACTGGAAGTCATGGTCACCTTAGGGGTGGAGGGAAAAGCAAGCAGATTCTAGGACCACACAGAGTTCAACTGAGTTTAAGGCAATAAATACACAGTGAGAGAAAGAACCTGAAAAGAGGTAGACTCTGAGATGCCAAGAAAAGGCCTTTCCTCATGAGTTTGGGGAAAGCACACACACTAAGTAACAGATAATAAAGGATTATACAAGATAACATTCACTAAAGTGAAAGCACTGACCATGGTCCAGGCCTGTGAGGGGGTGGGGGACACAGAGGCTCAGGCCAGGACTGCCCTGAGGGAGCTTGAGATCTGTGAAGGAGCCAGAGATGCAAACAAAGAGGGGGGTGTCTTGGGAAACAAATGAGGAGCAAAGATGGATGAGCAACACTCTTTAGGAGGAAGAGATCAACAAAGGCCTTTCCCTTGAAGATGGTGTTTGGTTTTATCTATAAGGATGAGCAGGATGGGG